TCCCATCTGATTGGCTGCAGGGCCAGTGTCCTCCCATCTGATTGGCTGCAGGGCCAGTGTCCTCCCATCTGATTGGCTGCAGGGCCAGTGTGCTCCCATCTGATTGGCTGCAGGGCCAGTGTGCTCCCATCTGATTGGCTGCAGGGCCAGTGTCCTCCCATCTGATTGGCTGCAGGGCCAGTGTCCTCCCATCTGATTGGCTGCAGGGCCAGTGTGCTCCCATCTGATTGGCTGCAGGGCCAGTGTCCTCCCATCTGATTGGCTGCAGGGCGAGTGTCCTCCCGTCTGATTGGCTGCAGGGCCAGTGTCCTCCCATCTGATTGGCTGCAGGGCCAGTGTGCTCCCATCTGATTGGCTGCAGGGCGAGTGTGCTCCCATCTGATTGGCTGCAGGGCCAGTGTGCTCCCATCTGATTGGCTGCAGGGCCAGTGTGCTCCCATCTGATTGGCTGCAGGGCGAGTGTGCTCCCATCTGATTGGCTGCAGGGCCAGTGTGCTCCCATCTGATTGGCTGCAGGGCCAGTGTCCTCCCATCTGATTGGCTGCAGGGCCAGTGTCCTCCCATCTGATTGGCTGCAGGGCCAGTGTGCTCCCATCTGATTGGCTGCAGGGCCAGTGTGCTCCCATCTGATTGGCTGCAGGGCGAGTGTGCTCCCATCTGATTGGCTGCAGGGCCAGTGTCCTCCCATCTGATTGGCTGCAGGGCCAGTGTGCTCCCATCTGATTGGCTGCAGGGCCAGTGTGCTCCCATCTGATTGGCTGCAGGGCCAGTGTCCTCCCATCTGATTGGCTGCAGGGCCAGTGTCCTCCCATCTGATTGGCTGCAGGGCCAGTGTGCTCCCATCTGATTGGCTGCAGGGCCAGTGTGCTCCCATCTGATTGGCTGCAGGGCCAGTGTCCTCCCATCTGATTGGCTGCAGGGCCAGTGTGCTCCCATCTGATTGGCTGCAGGGCCAGTGTCCTCCCATCTGATTGGCTGCAGGGCCAGTGTCCTCCCATCTGATTGGCTGCAGGGCCAGTGTCCTCCCATCTGATTGGCTGCAGGGCCAGTGTCCTCCCATCTGATTGGCTGCAGGGCCAGTGTCCTCCCATCTGATTGGCTGCAGGGCCAGTGTGCTCCCATCTGATTGGCTGCAGGGCCAGTGTGCTCCCATCTGATTGGCTGCAGGGCCAGTGTCCTCCCATCTGATTGGCTGCAGGGCCAGTGTCCTCCCATCTGATTGGCTGCAGGGCCAGTGTCCTCCCATCTGATTGGCTGCAGGGCCAGTGTGCTCCCATCTGATTGGCTGCAGGGCCAGTGTGCTCCCATCTGATTGGCTGCAGGGCCAGTGTCCTCCCATCTGATTGGCTGCAGGGCCAGTGTCCTCCCATCTGATTGGCTGCAGGGCCAGTGTGCTCCCATCTGATTGGCTGCAGGGCCAGTGTGCTCCCATCTGATTGGCTGCAGGGCCAGTGTCCTCCCATCTGATTGGCTGCAGGGCCAGTGTGCTCCCATCTGATTGGCTGCAGGGCCAGTGTCCTCCCATCTGATTGGCTGCAGGGCCAGTGTGCTCCCATCTGATTGGCTGCAGGGCCAGTGTCCTCCCGTCTGATTGGCTGCAGGGCGAGTGTCCTCCCATCTGATTGGCTGCAGGGCCAGTGTCCTCCCATCTGATTGGCTGCAGGGCCAGTGTGCTCCCATCTGATTGGCTGCAGGGCCAGTGTCCTCCCATCTGATTGGCTGCAGGGCCAGTGTGCTCCCATCTGATTGGCTGCAGGGCGAGTGTCCTCCCGTCTGATTGGCTGCAGGGCGAGTGTCCTCCCATCTGATTGGCTGCAGGGCCAGTGTGCTCCCATCTGATTGGCTGCAGGGCGAGTGTCCTCCCATCTGATTGGCTGCAGGGCCAGTGTCCTCCCATCTGATTGGCTGCAGGGCCAGTGTGCTCCCATCTGATTGGCTGCAGGGCGAGTGTCCTCCCGTCTGATTGGCTGCAGGGCGAGTGTCCTCCCATCTGATTGGCTGCAGGGCCAGTGTGCTCCCATCTGATTGGCTGCAGGGCGAGTGTCCTCCCATCTGATTGGCTGCAGGGCCAGTGTCCTCCCATCTGATTGGCTGCAGGGCCAGTGTGCTTCCATCTGATTGGCTGCAGGGCGAGTGTCCTCCCATCTGATTGGCTGCAGGGCCAGTGTCCTCCCATCTGATTGGCTGCAGGGCCAGTGTCCTCCCATCTGATTGGCTGCAGGGCCAGTGTCCTCCCATCTGATTGGCTGCAGGGCCAGTGTGCTCCCATCTGATTGGCTGCAGGGCCAGTGTGCTCCCATCTGATTGGCTGCAGGGCCAGTGTGCTCCCATCTGATTGGCTGCAGGGCGAGTGTCCTCCCGTCTGATTGGCTGCAGGGCGAGTGTCCTCCCATCTGATTGGCTGCAGGGCCAGTGTCCTCCCGTCTGATTGGCTGCAGGGCGAGTGTCCTCCCATCTGATTGGCTGCAGGGCGAGTGTCCTCCCGTCTGATTGGCTGCAGGGCGAGTGTCCTCCCATCTGATTGGCTGCAGGGCGAGTGTCCTCCCATCTGATTGGCTGCAGGGCGAGTGTCCTCCCGTCTGATTGGCTGCAGGGCGAGTGTCCTCCCGTCTGATTGGCTGCAGGGCGAGTGTCCTCCCATCTGATTGGCTGCAGCGCGAGTGTCCTCCCATCTGATTGGCTGCAGGGCCAGTGTCCTCCCATCTGATTGGCTGCAGGGCCAGTGTCCTCCCATCTGATTGGCTGCAGGGCCGCCAGGCTGGCAGTGAAAACCAGCTTCTGCTGCCAGCAGGGAGGAACTGATGAGTGAAGAACTGAGTAGAGAGGAAAAAAGATTCAGTATCAGAGACTCAGTTTTTTTTTCCACCAATAGGAATTAAGTAAAACAATAACATTTTAAGCAAGCTAAAAGTTAGGGGAAATAAAAGTTTGATTAGACCAGGGAGAAAATAATTTGAAATTAAAAGTTGTAAAATTACTTCATAAAACTCTCTATGGAAAACATAAACTTCCTTTAACCACACGTTTGAAGTTTATGTTCCTCTGCTGTCCACTCAGTCTGCTGCCTTTTCATTGGTCACCATGACGACGTTGATGTTGCTGCATCCAATCAGCTTGGATGGTTCTGCTGGAAGTCCCTCCTCGAGCAGATTTGATTGGAGCAGGCACTGATTGATGGAGAACCTGAGTTCTACACAGTATTAGTCTGTTTGTCACAGTTAGGTGAAGACTGACCTATAGAAAACTGAGATAGATTGGCCCATGCCTCTAAAAGGCAACCAGCCTTGCACATTTCTGTAGGGACTTCATTAGGACATGTAGTCTGGTTACAACGCGCTGTAGACCCAGCAGGCTTCTGCTGACGGTTGTTCTCTAAAATGCCTAAATTTAGATTTTTCTCAGCAGTTATGGCCGCTGTTCTTTCTATCAACATGAAGCTAATACTTTGAAGACACCGTGGAATTGGAAGCATCCTGGCAGCTGCTTTTTTTTCCAGGGAAAACCAGGATGAAACCACTGAAATATATAGAACTATCATGGTTCTCCACTTTTGGGACTCTGAGTTTTTAGTTTTCAGCCTTCATTATATTCCAGCAGTCTTTAGTTCCTCTCTGCTGCCCCCTGGTGCTTGTTTCCTTTCCCCTTGGCTTCCTTCTAGTTAGTTCCACTCACACCTGCTCCATATTCAGCTCATTAGTCCATCCTTTGTTCTGTTCCCCTTATATACTCCACCTCTGCAGTCACTCACTCCTGCTTCCTTGTTGTTTTTAGTTGTTCCGTCGTCTCTGGCTCCCATGTGAGTTTCCCCTAATGCTTTCCTTTTTTTTTTGGTTCGTTATATTTTGTATTTTTGCATTTTTGGATGTCTGCCCCAGTTTTTTATTAAATCAACTAGAACTTATCTCAACTTAAGTCATCTCTGCATTTGGGTGCTCAAGCAAACTCTCCCCCATTGTTGACAAAAACTGGGTGACACTAAGAAAATAGGACATTTTTCTCTTGGCAAATTTTATTTGAATTATAAACAATATACACCTTTAGAAATGTTAAGAATACGGCTCGACACCTGGATCCACCTTTGCACTTCACATGTGCAGAGATTCATGCAGCTGAGGGGAACAGTTTCAGAAATTCTATTAGTATGTTAGTACTAGTATCCTATTATTAAATATTAGTTTTAAAGTAACATTTAATGTTATTGAAGAAGAGGAAAAGGCTGTTTGACTCCAACTGCAGCATCCAGATCAGAGAGACTTATACTAATGCAAGTCATTAAAAACCACCAAACATATTCATAATTGATAAGGCTGGACTGGACCCATTATCCCACAGCTGGACCTAAAAGAAAGCCATCACAGATCGTGTGGTTTTCTCCAGGCACCACCTGCAGTTCCTCCTTGATGGGGTTTCATTATCGTTCCAATAATGTTGGGCTCAGGTTGCTGTGGATGTGGGCGCTGGGATGTTGTTGTGTCCGCAGAGACGGTTCCTCTGCTTTATAGACCGTCTGCTGGGAAGCCATTCAGCTCTAAAGTCATTCAATCTGACCAGATAAATAAATCAGCAGTTTTTTATCCTTAATGAGCCGCAGTCAGTGAGCTAAAGCCTGCAGTGACCAGCAGCCATATGCAGAGCTGGAAATGCCTCCTTCTGACCATCAGGAAATGTAGAATAGAATATATCCAACATCAGTGATGGGAATGAAATTTCCAGAAGGAAGGCGTTGGCATTGAAAGCCAGAGCCAGACTGTCACTGATTGGACGGATTACTAAATGCCTCAGTTGCCACCATGATGACGGTCTACTGAAGAACCTATGTCTCATTTCCCTCCTCAAAAGATTGTCCGTCCACAGGTCTTTGGTTTTGACCATGGTTGACTTTGGAATACAACTGAGGCAGCTGGTTGGGCTGAAGGTAATGTCAGAGTAAAGGTCCCCAATGTTCTGGGATTTGGGTCTTGCAGTTAATCATCAGGTGGTTAAGCTTTAGCTCCTTGAGAATGGCTAAGTTGGCAGGTAGTCCCCTCTATGGAAGCTCAGAGGTAGTCCCCTCTATGGAAGTCCAGAGGTAGTCCCCTCTATGGAAGTCCAGAGGTAGTCCCCTCCATGGAAGTCCAGAGGTAGTCCCCTCTATGGATGTCCAGAGGTAGTCCCCTCTATGGAAGCCCAGAGGTAGTCCCCTCTATGGAAGCCCAGAGGTAGTCCCCTCTATGGAAGCCCAGAGGTAGTCCCCTCTATGGAAGCTCAGAGGTAGTCCCCTCTATGGAAGTCCAGAGGTAGTCCCCTCTATGGAAGCCCAGAGGTAGTCCCCTCTATGGAAGTCCAGAGGTAGTCCCCTCTATGGAAGCTCAGAGGTAGTCCCCTCTATGGAAGTCCAGAGGTAGTCCCCTCTATGGAAGCCCAGAGGTAGTCCCCTCTATGGAAGCTCAGAGGTAGTCCCCTCTATGGAAGTCCAGAGGTAGTCCCCTCTATGGAAATCCAGAGGTAGTCCCCTCCATGGAAGTCCAGAGGTAGTCCCCTCTATGGAAGTCCAGAGGTAGTCCCCTCTATGGAAGCTCAGAGGTAGTCCCCTCTATGGAAGTCCAGAGGTAGTCCCCTCTATGGAAGTCCAGAGGTAGTCCCCTCTATGGAAGCCCAGAAGTAGTCCCCTCTATGGAAGCCCAGTGGTAGTCCCCTCTATGGAAGCCCAGAGGTAGTCCCCTCTATGGAAGCCCAGAGGTAGTCCCCTCTATGGAAGCCCAGAAGTAGTCCCCTCTATGGAAGCCCAGTGGTAGTCCCCTCTATGGAAGCCCAGAAGTAGTCCCCTCTATGGAAGCCCAGTGGTAGTCCCCTCTATGGAAGCCCAGAGGTAGTCCCCTCTATGGAAGCCCAGAGGTAGTCCCCTCTATGGAAGCCCAGAGGTAGTCCCCTCTATGGAAGCTCAGAGGTAGTCCCCTCTATGGAAGCCCAGAGGTAGTCCCCTCCATGGAAGTCCAGAGGTAGTCCCCTCTATGGAAGTCCAGAGGTAGTCCCCTCTATGGAAGCCCAGAAGTAGTCCCCTCTATGGAAGCCCAGAGGTAGTCCCCTCTATGGAAGCCCAGAAGTAGTCCCCTCTATGGAAGCCCAGAGGTAGTCCCCTCTATGGAAGTCCAGAGGTAGTCCCCTCTATGGAAGCCCAGAGGTAGTCCCCTCTATGGAAGCCCAGAAGTAGTCCCCTCTATGGAAGCCCAGAGGTAGTCCCCTCTATGGAAGTCCAGAGGTAGTCCCCTCTATGGAAGTCCAGAGGTAGTCCCCTCTATGGAAGTCCAGAGGTAGTCCCCTCTATGGAAGTCCAGAGGTAGTCCCCTCTATGGAAGTCCAGAGGTAGTCCCCTCTATGGAAGTCCAGAGGTAGTCCCCTCTATGGAAGCCCAGAGGTAGTCCCCTCTATGGAAGTCCAGAGGTAGTCCCCTCTATGGAAGCCCAGAGGTAGTCCCCTCTATGGAAGCCCAGAAGTAGTCCCCTCTATGGAAGCCCAGAGGTAGTCCCCTCTATGGAAGTCCAGAGGTAGTCCCCTCTATGGAAGCCCAGAGGTAGTCCCCTCTATGGAAGTCCAGAGGTAGTCCCCTCTATGGAAGTCCAGAGGTAGTCCCCTCCATGGAAGCCCAGAGGTAGTCCTCTCTATGGAAGTCCAGAGGTAGTCCCCTCTATGGAAGCCCAGAGGTAGTCCCCTCTATGGAAGCCCAGAGGTAGTCCCCTCTATGGAAGCCCAGAGGTAGTCCCCTCTATGGAAGTCCAGAGGTAGTCCCCTCCATGGAAGCCCAGAGGTAGTCCCCTCTATGGAAGTCCAGAGGTAGTCCCCTCTATGGAAGCCCAGAGGTAGTCCCCTCTATGGAAGCCCAGAGGTAGTCCCCTCTATGGATGTCCAGAAGTAGTCCCCTCTATGGAAGTCCAGAGGTAGTCCCCTCCATGGAAGCTCACATGCAAAAAGAAGATCTGGATCAGGTGCCTAGTTGGTGAACGGTGAGGGTGGTCTTAATCTGCTAATTCCTGGTGGGAAAAGAACTTAAGGTTTCACCTTACTGCTAAAAAGCCAAAGCTGTGGTTTGAGACTGAAAGCATTGTTGGACTCTGAATGGACCATCTCCACGGTGTGTAATGGAGGACAGAAGCTGTGGCCTGAAGCTATCTTAGGTTGAGAGGGATTCAGAGACTATGGAAGGAAACCTTTGGTTGTTCTAAAGGAAGTTATGGAAAACGGTTGTAGATTTGGGGGTTTTGAAGTTATAGACCCTGACCGAGGACATAATAGGGCATGGAAGGAGCACTTTGAAGGTTTCCTCCATAGAATAACCATGTCCTTCTTTGAGGAGACTTCTGGTGGTTCTGGTGGTTCTGGATATGGTAGGCAGGGTCATTCCACATGCATAGAGGTGGCAGTCAGGATCACATGTTTCAGATGTGATCAACCATCAAATGGCCATTAATAGCAATGATCAGTCCCATAGAATAGCTCCAGCCTGTGCCTCCTCTATCTTCTAGTTGGTTTCTTATGGCTGATAATGTGCAGCTTATTGTTGATAACAGATGCTTTGGCCACGTCTAAAACCTTAAGTTTGACTTTCTATATACCTACTTATATTTCTATCTACTTTATTTACACCCATTTACCTTCCTTACAAAAAAAACAGTGTTTTATAACGTTACTTTGAGTGAATTCCACATGTTTCAGTCACACAGCGTTAATGGTGTTTAAAAACAACGATTTTTTTGGGGGGGAGGTGGTTTGATATGAGCAACATGACAATCAATAGATGAAGAACTACTCAAATTATGTTCAGATTACACAAAAATAAATCATTTAACTCTGTGGGTGAAAAATTAATTACTTTGGGATTGGGACACATTGGGTGATAACGACCTACTGAGCCTAGTGGTACAATCTGAAGCCATTCTATGGGACTGATAATAACAGATGATAACATCGAAAGCGGATGACAGGATGGTGGTCTCATTAATTTAGAAAGCAGAATGGAGGGTTTATTACAATAAATACTTTATTTCATACTTCTGGATGTTTGAAGCAAAGTATTTATCAAAGGATGTTATTTCTCAGCCTTTAAGGGAAAGCTGAGTCCAGCTGTGGATGGTTTATTTCTGTCTTCCTGCCCATGGGTCGTTACACTTGCACATTTGCTCCTGGTGGCATGAACCTCTGGTTTATACTTTCCATTGTTTTGTGACTCTAAAGTCCAATAACATTGTGCCACAATGTTTTTATGCCATGGGTGTTTCTCCAGCCTTGGTTAAACACAGCTTCAGGCTTCTCTATCACAGTAAATCCTTATTTATCATTCCTGAGCAAACTCTCAGTTATCATGAAAACCAGAACCAGTCTGCTTGCCTCTGATTTAAGTGGTCTGTGGTCCCTATTGTAGTTCCAAAAGGCGCCATCTTTAGTTGTTTGACCTTTTTTTGCAAAGTCTCAGTTTTTTTCTGAGTGGTGTGTTTCCCACCAGGGGGGCTAAAATATTAGTAAGCTGTTTATCCATGCTGTATGTTACTGAGTTCATGCTGCTGACGATGGCTCTGAGTGGCGTCCCTTCCTTATTAGCATTAGCATGTCCTCCCCTGGAAATAATCTGAAATAAGCTGAACGGTTAATTACCTTGACGTTTTCGAGTTGTTTAAGGTAGTCTGTGATTTTCTTACTGTAGGCGTTGGTTGGATCTCTCAAAGATTCATATGATAAAAAGATTCATATTCATTAGAATTTTGTCCTTATAGTCGGAGGTGTTGAGGACCACGGTGGATCTTCCTCTGTCTGCTGCTAATATGGTGATGCTTGGGTCCTGGCAGTGGGATGCTATGGCTTTCCTTTCCTATGGTGTGAGATTGGAAGGAGGTGGTTCGATGCTGGACGGGGAAGCTGTTGTCTCATCCTGAGGTGCTCTGCCTGTTTCAGCCACGGTGTTGTTCCTGATGGCAGATTCAGTGGCAGTGATCAGCTCCATAATGGGTATTTATTGTGGAGAAATGGGGTTATAAGTTTGTAGGGTCACAAAAAGTAAACAGTTTCAAATGTGTTTAGATGGTTTTATAACCCTCTATGCTTATCAAACCCTAAAAAGAAACCACCAACCCTCTGGACCAGTGGTGCCCACCGTTGGCCACCAGCGGTTTCCACCATGTTTTGGGTCTGAAAACTCCTAAACCCTGAAATGTCTCATGCCCAGGACACGGCAGCACCTGGTGACCTGCTGAGGAGCATTTAGATGTGCTGCTGCTGGGGCGTATCTGTTATATTTAGGCTACTGGCCCCTCAGGCTTAGACCCCCCACCTGCACCCCACCCCCCCTGCTGGCGGATTGATGCTTGAATCAGGCTGTTTGTCTGTGTCAGTTTGTGGCCAATAATAGCAGTAAAGCATTTAACTGTTGCACAACCCAAAATAATAAATCAACATTGTCTGATGATGCTGCAGATATAATCAAATAAGATCCTTTTCCTCAGCCTGACATCACGTTAAACCCTCCAGCATCTCTCTGTAGACCCTAATGTCTTAGCGTAATCCGATTTCATGTTCTGTAGAGCAGCTTTATCACCAAGCCAATTTAAATCCTTACTGAAGACCTCATTTATCTTAAATAAGCAGCAAAACAAGCAACAGCCAAACTGAAGCACAGATAAGTTAAGAGTTGAGTTTACAGAGAAGGAGGATCTTTAAATAATGCTCAACAACTTGTTGGCCTCATGGTTATGAGTGTTTCATTCATGACACTGAGGAAGTAGATGACTGGTTGGTTCTGTTTTATAAAGATAGTATTTTTGTTGGAATACCATTTCACACCGACTACAGGGAAACAGAATTTGTTGCAACAACAGGAAGTCTACATCCGCGTGATGGGAGGATTTATCAGCAAAGCTTTCTTCCACTAATGGGGGGGGGGCAGAAAATGAAGCCGCAGGGAGAGAAGCAACCGAGTCCCACCTGTGGGACGTCGCTCTGAAACCAATGCTCACAAATCAGATTAGTTATGAACATCGTGTTCATGTCCCAGCAGCACCACCCTACAGCAATACAACCCTACAGCAATACCACCCTACAGCAATACCACCCTACAGCAATACCACCCTACAGCAATACCACCCTACAGCAGCACCACCCTACAGCAATACCACCCTACAGCAATACAACCCTACAGCAATACCACCCTACAGCAATACCACCCTACAGCAGCACCACCCTACAGCAGCACCGCCCTACAGCAGCACCACCCTACAGCAATACCACCCTACAGCAATACAACCCTACAGCAATACCACCCTACAGCAGCACCACCCTACAGCAATACCACCCTACAGCAATACCACCCTACAGCAGCACCACCCTACAGCAGCACCACCCTACAGCAACACCACCCTACAGCAGCACCACCCTACAGCAGCACCACCCTACAGCAATACCACCCTACAGCAGCACCACCCTACAGCAATACCACCCTACAGCAGCACCACCCTACAGCAACACCACCCTACAGCAGCACCACCCTACAGCAGCACCACCCTACAGCAATACCACCCTACAGCAGCACCACCCTACAGCAATACCACCCTACAGCAATACCACCCTACAGCAGCACCACCCTACAGCAATACCACCCTACAGCAGCACCACCCTACAGCAGCACCACCCTACAGCAGCACCACCCTACAGCAGCACCACCCTACAGCAGCACCACCCTACAGCAATGCCACCCTACAGCAGCACCACCCTACAGCAATGCCACCCTACAGCAGCACCACCCTACAGCAGCACCACCCTACAGCAGCACCACCCTACAGCAATACCACCCTACAGCAGCACCACCCTACAGCAGCACCACCCTACAGCAGCACCACCCTACAGCAGCACCACCCTACAGCAGCACCACCCTACAGCAGCACCACCCTACAGCAATGCCACCCTACAGCAGCACCACCCTACAGCAGCGCCACCCTACAGCAGCACCACCCTACAGCAGCACCACCCTACAGCAGCACCACCCTACAGCAACACCACCCTACAGCAGCACCACCCTACAGCAGCACCACCCTACAGCAACACCACCCTACAGCAGCACCACCCTACAGCAGCACCACCCTACAGCAGCGCCACCCTACAGCAGCACCACCCTACAGGAGCACCACCCTACAGCAGCACCACCCTACAGCAGCACCACCCTACAGCAACACCACCCTACAGCAGCACCACCCTACAGCAATACCACCCTACAGCAGCACCACCCTACAGCAATACCACCCTACAGCAACACCACCCTACAGCAGCACCACCCTACAGCAGCACCACCCTACAGCAGCGCCACCCTACAGCAGCACCACCCTACAGCAGCACCGCCCTACAGCAGCACCACCCTACAGCAATACCACCCTACAGCAATACAACCCTACAGCAATACCACCCTACAGCAGCACCACCCTACAGCAATACCACCCTACAGCAATACCACCCTACAGCAGCACCACCCTACAGCAGCACCACCCTACAGCAACACCACCCTACAGCAGCACCACCCTACAGCAGCACCACCCTACAGCAATACCACCCTACAGCAGCACCACCCTACAGCAATACCACCCTACAGCAGCACCACCCCACCCGCAAAAACCACCCTACAAACGCACCACCCTTTCAGCGCACCACCCTACGCCCAAAACCACCCCTACGCAGGGGACCACCCTACAGCAATACCACCCTACAGCAATACCACCCTACAGCAGCACCACCCCACGCAATACCACCCCAACCCGCAGGGACCCCCTCCGCAGCACCACCCTAACAGCGCTTCCCCCCTACAGCAGCAAACCCCCCTTTCAGCACCACCCCTTCCCGCAATGCCACCCTACAGCACACCACCCTCAGCAAGCCACCCCAACAGCGCACCACCCTACAAACACACCCCCTACAGCAGCACCAACCCCAAAAGCAAAACCGGGCCCCAGCAGCACCCCCCCTACAGGGAGCACCACCCTACGCAGCACCCCCCTAAAAGCAGCACCACCCTACAGAAACACCACCCAACGGGCAGCACCACCAACAGCAATGCCACCCTACAGCCCGCACCCCCCTAAAAGCGGGGCCACCCCAAAAGCCACCCACCCTACAGCTGCCCCCACCCTACAGCGGGACCACCCTAAAAGCAAAAACCACCCTAAAAGCAGCACCACCCTACAGCAGGGACCCCCCCTACAGCAAAAACCACCCCCCAGGGAAACACCCCCCCTAAAAAGCAGCACCCCCTAAAGCAAACGCCACCCCACAAACAACCACCCTACAGCAGCACCCCCCTACAGGGGGCACCACCCCACAGCAGCAAACCCCCCTACAGCAGCACCACCCTACAGCAGCCCCCAAACCCCCCAGCAGCACCACCCCACGCAATGCCCCCTCAGGTCAGCACCACCCTACACAATCCCCCGGGGGGGGCCCCCCCCCCACAGCAAGCACCACCCTACAGGGGAGCACCACCCTACAGCAGCACCACCCCCAGCAATTCCCCCACCCACCCGGGGAGCACCCCCTAACAGCAAACCCCCCTACGCAAACCACCCTACAGCGCACCACCCCAAACAAAGCCCCTAAAAGGGGCACCAAACCCCACAGCAATGCCCCCTACGGCCCGCACCCCCCTTAACAGCGCACCACCCTACAGCAGCACCACCCTAAAAGCAATACCCCCCTACAGGGAAAAAAACCCCCCCCCCTTTAAAAAGCAGCACCAAACCCCCCCAGCGCAACCACCCTACAGCAGCACCACCCCACAGCGCCCACCCCAAGCAAAGGGCCCCCCTTCCAAACAAACACCACCCCACAAATGCCACCCTTTCAGCAATGCCACCCTACAGCGCACCACCCTACCAAACAATGCCACCCCACAAGGGGGAAATGGGCCCCCCCTACCGGGAATGCCACCCCAAAAAGCAGCACCACCCTTTCACAATGCCCCCCCTACAGCAGGGACCACCCTACAGCAATACCAAACCCCCAGCAATGCCCCCCCTACAGCACACCACCCTACAGGGAGCACCACCCTACAGCAAACAACCCCCCTTTAAACAATGGGGCCCCCCTAACCCGGGTCAAACCCCCCTTTCGCAGCCAACCCCCCCTACAGCAGCCCCCACCCCACGCAGACACCCCTACAAAAACACCACCCCCCCCAGCAATTTCCACCCCACGCCCCCCACCCCTACAGCCAAAACCACCCCACCCCCCAGCAACCCCCTAAAGCAGCACCAACCCCCCAGCAATAACCCCCCTACAGAACAAACACCAACCCAGGCGGGACCCAACCCCACAGGAAAACCCCCCCCCCCTACGCAGCACCACACCCCAAAGCAGCAACCCCCCCAACCCAACCCTTTCCACCCTACAAACAAACCACCCCCACAGCTAAGGGCCCCCCAAAAGCAGCACCACCCCACAGCAAAGGGGGCCCTTCAGCCACCCCCCTACAGCGCGCCACCCTACGCAGCACCACCCCAAGCGCACCACCCTAACAGCAGCACCACCCCACAGCAACACCACCCCACAGACACCACCCTACAGCAGGGACCACCATACACCAAAAACCAAACCCTTCAGCCCGCACCACCCTACAGGGACACCAACCCCACAGCAGCGCCAACCCTACAGCAGCAAACCCCCCTACAGCAGCACCCACCCCACAGGAGCACCAACCCCACAGCAGCAAACCAAACCCCACGCAAACTCCACCCTACAGCAACACCCCCCTACGGGAGCCCCCCCCTACGCAGCACCACCCTTAAAAAGCAGCACCACCCTACAGCAAAACCACCCTACACAGCAAACCCCCCAACAGCAAAACACCCCTCAGCACACCACCCAAAAAGCAAATACACCCTACACACACCCCCTAAAAGCAACAAACCCCCCTACAGGGGCACCCCCTACCGCAGCACCACCCTACAGCAAATCCACCCTACAAAACAGGGCCCAACCCCTAAGGGAATGCCCCCTACAGCAGCAACCCCCTACCCGCAAAACCACCCTAAAAAGCAATACCACCCTTTCACAATACCACCCTACAAAACAGCACCACCACAAGCAAAAACCACCCTACAGCCGCACCAAACCCCCCAGCAGCCCACCCCTTCGCAGCACCACCCTACGCCAAACCCCCCTACAGCAAACACCCCCCTAAAGCGCCCCCCTACAGCAATGCCCCCCTACGCAGGCACCACCCCAACCCGCAGCGCCACCCTACAGCAGCAACCCCCCCCACCGCGCACCCCCTACAGCAGGGACCACCCTCAGCAACACCACCCTAAAACAGCACCAAACCCCACAAGGGAGCCCCCCCCCTACAGAAAAACCCAAACCCTACAGCCCGCACCCCCCTACAGCCCGCCCACCCTACAGCACGCCACCCTACGCAGCACCCCCCTACCCCCAGCACCACCCTACAGGACACCCCCCCTACAGCAGCACCACCCTACAGCAGCACCCCCCCTAAAAGCAACCTCCCCCCTACGCAGCCCCCACCCTACAGCAATGCCACCCTAAAAGCGGGACCCCCTACGCAAAGCCACCCTACAGCAGCAACCCCCCCTACAGGGGCACCCCCCTACAGGGAGCACCAACCCTTTAAACCAGCAATTTCCCCCAAAAGCAGCCCACCCTACAGCGCACCACCCTACACACACCCCCCTACAGCAGCACCACCCTTCCCCAAACCACCCTACAGCGGGACCAAACCCCACGCATTTCCACCCCAAAAGCAGAAACCCCCTTACAGGGGGGGAGGGGGGACCACCCTACAAACAGCCCCCGACCCCAAAAGCAATACCAAACCCCACAGCAGCACCACCCCACAGCAGCACCACCCCAAAAGCCAAACCCTTCCCGCCGCCCCCAACCCCCAAAAGCAGCACCCCCAAAAGCAAGGGCCACCCTACAGCAGCACCCACCCCACAGCAATTGGGCCACCCTACAGGGGAATGCCCCCCTAAGCAGGGACCAAACCCCACAAACAAAGCCACCCTTTCAGCAATGCCACCCTACAGCAATGCCCCCCCTACAGCAGCACCACCCTAAAACAAAAAACCACCCTTCACAGCACCACCCTACAGCCCAAAACCACCCCACAGCAATGCCCCTACAGCAGCACCCACCCCTACGCAGCACCACCCTACAGCCCGCACCACCCGGACAGGGAATGCCACCCTTTTTCAAGGGGAAACACCACCCCCAGGGGCACCACCCTACGCGCACCACCCCACAGGGTGACCCCCCCTACAAACAGCACCACCCACAGCAATGCCACCCTACAGCAGCCCCCCCAAAAGCAATACCACCCTACAGCAAACACCAACCCCTACAAGCAGCACCCCCCTTTCAAACAAAACCAAACCCCACCAGGGGGCCCACCCCCCAGCAGCACCAAACCCTTTCAGCACCCCCCCTACAGCAGCACCACCCTACAGCACAAAAACCCCCTACAGCAATTCCACCCTTTCAGCAACACCCCCCCTACAGCAAAACCAAACCCCACAGCGCCCACCCTACAGCAATTTCCACCCACGCCGCAAACCCCCCTACAGCAGCCCCCACCCTACAGCAAACACCCCCCTACAGCAGCACCACCCTACAGCAGCACCACCCTACAGCAACACCACCCTACAGCAGCACCACCCTACAGCAGCACCACCCTACAGCAACACCACCCTACAGCAGCACCACCCTACAGCAGCACCACCCTACAGCAGCGCCACCCTACAGCAGCACCACCCTACAGCAGCACCACCCTACAGGAGCACCACCCTACAGCAGCACCACCCTACAGCAGCACCACCCTACAGCAACACCACCCTACAGCAGCACCACCCTACAGCAGCACCACCCTACAGCAGCACCACCCTACAGCAACACCACCCTACAGCAGCACCACCCTACAGCAATACCACCCTACAGCAGCACCACCCTACAGCAATACCACCCTACAGCAGCACCACCCTACAGCAACACCACCCTACAGCAGCACCACCCTACAGCAGCACCACCCTACAGCAATACCACCCTACAGCAGCACCACCCTACAGCAATGCCACCCTACAGCAGCACCACCCTACAGCAATACCACCCTACAGCAATACCACCCTACAGCAATACCACCCTACAGCAGCACCACCCTACAGCAATACCACCCTACAGCAGCACCACCCTACAGCAATGCCACCCTACAGCAGCACCACCCTACAGCAATACCACCCTACAGCAGCACCACCCTACAGCAACACCACCCTACAGCAATACCACCCTACAGCAATACCACCCTACAGCAATACCACTCTACAGCAATACCACTATGTTCATGACTTCTAATCTGATTTGTGAGCATTGGTTTCAGAGCGGTTGCTTCTCTCCCTGCGGCTTCATTTTCTAGTGGAAGAAAGCTTTGCTGATAAATCCTCCCATCACGCGGATGTAGACTTCCTGGTGTTGCAACAAATTCTGTTTCCCTCTAAGTTTCTCTAAAGTAAAGAAACAGAAATAGCACGCCTTGTTTGATGTGTTTTGCAATTTTACCAACAGGTTATGAATATATTAAATATGTAAGTTTAGATCATTATTAAGTCATTGATAACTATTAGTTAAATGATTATAACTGTCATTTCATTACTAACCGGGATTCGTTAGTCTTTTACATAAAGGATGGACTCCTGGACCAGCTGTTTAAATTCAGTTTAGTAATTTAGACTCTGGCTGCCAGTAGAGCTATTAACCATCAAACAAAGGAAAATGTTCTTCAAGGGTTAATTGGGTAGATGGCGCCGCACAAGCAGCAGCCTGTTTCAGCGGCTCCTTGCTCTCCTCTCCTATTTTCTCTATTTTATATTCTAGTGGAGATTCTCAGTCATCCAGGTCATAGACATTACCCTGTTTGCCAATTAATGCTCTTTCCATCACAAAATTTGGTATTGTATTTCGTATTTACCTAAATGTTTAAAAGCATAATTTATTATTGTCTAAGCATCTTAGAAGGAAGTACATCCAACCATCAATCCTGCAAACACAAGCGATCACATTTCAGGTGATTTTAAATGATCTAAAGCAGGGGAATTTATTCTGATTAAGGATCAAAGAGAGATGATCAATAAAAGGTTATGCATCTTGGCTCAGATTTGTGTAAATATCTAGATTCCATTTTAATCAGTGAAAATTAGTACTCAATGAAGTGCTTAATTTAAGGGCTATAGTCTTATGAGAAGTTTTGTCTTATTTCTGGATCAGTGGTTTATTGTAGGGCAGCGCTGTGACAAAAGGAGACAATCTGTCCAGATAGAGACATAAAAATATTATCTCAATTCCCACTAATGAAAAAGATAAACATATTTTCTCCCCATAAATGGCTCCTGTCACAGTCTGAAATGTTTGGATAACAGAAACAGGCGAAGCGCAGCCAAGCAAAATGTTCTCTAAAGGCGATACTGTCTGTTTATCGTCTGAAAACCAAGATGTCGCCATCTATCAGCCCAGCGTGTTCAGAGAAACTTTCACTGATCCAAACCTCCACATTACAGGAACCGGTCCTCCTGCAGAATCTGTAGTTCTCTAACATTTCAGCCGGGACATGATGAGGTTTGTGGTGGTGATAACCCAACACATCACCTGATTCAGTGGGAATAATGATAAAATAACGAGCCTATTCCTCGCCGAGGTCCATTAGAAAGTCCAGCTGTTCTGTTTTTGTCATCAGATGTTAGAGAACAAAGTGAAGCTCAGTCTGAGGAGAAGATCTTATGAAAATGGACGTTAATGGGCTGGAAACACATGGAGCAAGACGGGCCGCCAACCGATCCAAAACCAGCGGTCCTGTTCTGAGGACTGGGACCAAATCCCAGAAACTACTGAAACATGGAGAAGCATGGAGGCCACGTTTCAGACACAAAACTGGAGACGTGTGGGTGGAAAATTCTGATTTCTCTTATTTCATATATTGATTTATGCTATTTACTCACTATAAAGGTTTTCACTCAGTCTGTTTCACCTGCATCCTGCCTCTCGCCCGTAGACAGCTGGTAGGCACCAGCAGCCCTCGCCACCCCACTTGGGATCAAGCGTGTCAGAAAATGGATGGATGGATGTTTCACCTCCAAGGCCACACAGTTCCCCTGAATGAGGATGTTTGTAGCTTCTTCCCATAACCAACCAGATTCTTTCTCAGGTTTATTCATAACGTAATAATGTTACTGTTTAACCAAAGTGTCTGTAATTAGTTTTGACTCTGACTATTTTCCATTGTTGTAACTAATGAGGACGTAATGCTGCCCAGAGCAGAACAGGGCTGATTACTGAGCAAGAAGGACCGTATGATGAACTGCTCTCTCTTTGCAAAGATACTGAGTGAAATCCATCGATGTTCCTTTATTTAACCGGTGGTGAATAGCTGAATACTTTTCTCCCACAACAGTTTACAGACACTTCCCTGTTTATAAGAAACCGTCTCAGGTTGGTCCTGGCGGACGCTGACTTTAAAGATTGATCTTTATTTGTTTCAGCAGGTGATAGAGCAGAACTTCAGGTGCCTTTTCTCTGATACAAAAACATGGTGAGAAGCTCAGCTGTTCACATGTTTATGAAAACAAGCTTATTAGAGGACAAATTTAATTTAGTATTTCAGTATGTTGGGTTAAAATAAATATACAGTTCAGATTTTATTATTTAATTTTCATTTTTTTACTTTTTTATTTTTTTCTGGGGGCGAGTCTTGTTTCCTTGTTGGCTGCTGTTAGGTGATGTTGTCTGGTGTTGTTAGCTGGTTTTAGCTTATTTTAGCTTCTGTTAGCTGATGTTGGCTGTTTGATGTTTTTAGCTATTGTTGGCTGCTGTTAGCTTTTGTTGGCTGGTGTTGTTATTTGTTTCTTAGCTGCTGTTAGCTGGTGTTGTTAGCTTCTTTTAGCTGCTGTTGGTAGCTTCTTTTAGCTGTTGTTAGCTGCTGTTGGCTGGTGTTGTTAGCTTCTTAGCTGCTGTTAGCTGCTGTTGGCTGGTGTTGTTAGTTTCTTTTAGCTGCTGTTGGTAGCTTCTTTTAGCTGCTGTTGGCTGGTGTTGTTAGTTTCTTAGCTGCTGTTAGCTGCTGTTGGCTGGTGTTGTTAGCTTCTTTTAGCTGCTGTTGGTAGCTTCTTTTAGCTGCTGTTGGCTGGTGTTGTTAGTTTCTTTTAGCTGTTGTTAGCTGCTGTTGGCTGGTGTTGTTAGCTTCTTAGCTGCTGTTAGCTGCTGTTGGCTGGTGTTGTTAGTTTCTTTTAGCTGCTGTTGGTAGCTTCTTTTAGCTGCTGTTGGCTGGTGTTGTTAGCTTCTTTTAGCTGCTGTTGTTAGCGTCTGTTAGCTGCTGTTAGCTGGTGTTGTTAGCTTCTTTTAGCTGTTGTTAACTGCTGTTGGCTGATGTTGTTATCTTCTGTTAGCTGCTGTTAGCTGATGTTGTCTGGTGTTGTTAGCTGTTTTTAACTTATTTTAACTTCTGTTAGCTGATGTTGTCTGGTGTTAGCTGGTTTTAGCTTCTGTTAGCTCCTGTTGGCTGTTTGTTTTTAGCTATTGTTGGCTGCTGTTAGCTTCTGTTAGCAGCTGTTAGCTAGTGTTGTTAGCTTCTTTTCGCTGCTGTTAGCTGGTGTTGTTAGCTTCTTTTAGCTGCTGTTAGCTGGTGTTGTTAGCTTCTTTTAGCTGCTGTTAGCTGGTGTTGTTAGCTTCTTTTAGCTGCTGTTGTTAGCTTCTTTTATCTGCTGTTAGCTGGTGTTGTTAGCTTCTTTTAGCTGCTGTTAGCTAGTGTTGTTAGCTTCTTTTCGCTGCTGTTAGCTGGTGTTGTTAGCTTCTTTTAGCTGCTGTTAGCTAGTGTTGTTAGCTTCTTTTAGCTGCTGTTAGCTAGTGTTGTTAGCTTCTTTTCGCTGCTGTTAGCTGGTGTTGTTAGCTTCTTTTCGCTGCTGTTAGCTGGTGTTGTTAGCTTCTTTTAGCTGCTGTTGGCTGGTGTTGTTAGCTTTTTAGCTGCTGTTAGCTGCTGTTGGCTGGTGTTGTTAGTTTCTTTTAGCTGCTGTTGGTAGCTTCTTTTAGCTGCTGTTGGCTGGTGTTGTTAGCTTCTTTTAGCTGCTGTTGGTAGCTTCTTTTAGCTGCTGTTGGCTGGTGTTGTTAGCTTCTTTTAGCTGTTGTTAACTGCTGTTGGCTGATGTTGTTAGCTTCTGTTAGCTGATGTTGTCTGGTCTTGTTAGCTGTTTTGAACTTATTTTAACTTCTGTTAGCTGATGTTGTCTGGTGTTAGCTGGTTTTAGCTTCTGTTAGCTCCTGTTGGCTGTTTGTTTTTAGCTATTGTTGGCTGCTGTTAGCTTCTGTTAGCAGCTGTTAGCTAGTGTTGTTAGCTTCTTTTCGCTGCTTTTAGCTGGTGTTGTTAGCTTCTTTTAGCTGCTGTTAGCTGGTGTTGTTAGCTTCTTTTAGCTGCTGTTGGCTGGTGTTGTTAGCTTCTTAGCTGCTGTTAGCTGCTGTTGGCTGGTGTTGTTAGTTTCTTTTAGCTGCTGTTGGTAGCTTCTTTTAGCTGCTGTTGGCTGGTGTTGTTAGCTTCTTTTAGCTGCTGTTGGTAGCTTCTTTTAGCTGCTGTTGGCTGGTGTTGTTAGCTTCTTTTAGCTGTTGTTAACTGCTGTTGGCTGATGTTGTTAGCTTCTGTTAGCTGCTGTTAGCTGATGTTGTCTGGTGTTGTTAGCTGTTTTTAACTTATTTTAAGTCCTGTTGGCTGTTTGTTTTTAGCTATTGTTGGCTGCTGTTAGCTTCTGTTAGCAGCTGTTAGCTAGTGTTGTTAGCTTCTTTTCGCTGCTGTTAGCTGGTGTTGTTAGCTTCTTTTAGCTGCTGTTAGCTGGTGTTGTTAGCTTCTTTTAGCTGCTGTTAGCTGGTGTTGTTAGCTTCTTTTAGCTGCTGTTGTTAGCTTCTTTTATCTGCTGTTGGCTGGTGTTGTTAGCGTCTGTTAGCTGCTGTTGGCTGGTGTTGTTAGCGTCTGTTAGCTGCTGTTGGCTGGTGTTGTTAGCTTCTTTTAGCAGCTGTTGGCTGGTGTTGTTAGCGTCTGTTAGCTGCTGTTAGCTGGTGTTGTTAGCTTCTTTTAGCTGCTGTTAGCTGGTGTTGTTAGCTTCTTTTAGCTGCTGTTAGCTAGTGTTGTTAGCTTCTTTTCGCTGCTGTTAGTTGGTGTTGTTAGCTTCTTTTAGCTGCTGTTAGCTAGTGTTGTTAGCTTCTTTTAGCTGCTGTTAGCTAGTGTTGTTAGCTTCTTTTCGCTGCTGTTAGCTGGTGTTGTTAGCTTCTTTTCGCTGCTGTTAGCTGGTGTTGTTAGCTTCTTTTAGCTGCTGTTGGCTGGTGTT